TTTCAGGGCTCTCCTTGTCTAAATGCTGCTTTCACTCTACATATTCAGTGCCCTGGGACTGCTGAGAAAAGCAGGGGCACAGTCAGTGTCTAATTGTAGTAACTGCAAAACAGCAGTAAGTATTTATGTTGGCAGTTTTCAGAACAAGTTGCTGCTTAACATGAGCCTAAAGAGACTTCTTAAGGCAACTGAATCATTTTGAAGCAGCTTCTGGCTTAATCCAGCCCACGGGAAGACATGTCTAAGCTCTGCCTGACATTGCTGGGCAGTCTAACCCTTTCTGGAAGGTTGTAAAAATCAGCTGGTCACTTGAGCTGTGTATGGACAAGAGGAATCAGGATCAGGAACTGTGGTTCCCTTGCCTGGAGATCTGCTGCTATTTGCAGCTCTTACCTGGGTGCGCGCAGAAAATGTGTTTGCTCTTTCCTGGAGGAAGCGCAACACCAGAGATTTCATGTAGGCTGAGGTTATGAGAAGATCCTACCAGGAAGCCTGTAGCATCCCTTTTTACTCCCTAGGTACTCATGAGAAGCTGAACTAGCACTGTGTGAGTGGATGCAGAGACCCACTGCTACCACTAACATCTTACGGGGTGAGCTGTTGAAAATCCAACATTCCATGCGATCACAGGAGAAAAAGCCTGGCTAAAGTATGGCAGATGCTTTTCAGAAGGCAAAGGGTCTGTAATTTCTGTAAACTACAGAAACTTCTGTATTCTGGGAATGTGAAACTTCAATCTGAATCTGGCACATGCATCTGCACACGAGGGGGACCAGGGCTTGAAATCACCATGTTACATGGATAATTCTGTGCTATTATGTACTCATAAAGTCTCATTGTTTTGCCTTCCATGATGTAAACATTTCATTTTGTGTTATGTAAGCCCCTAATATGATATAAAATGTTAGGCATGTTACCAATTGTAGTACAGCACACTAGTATTTTTTTCTTGTCTCTACAGTGAGCATTTTTTGGTACTGTAAATATGTCCTCGGCTATTTATATTTTTTTTTTCCTCAGTGCTCTCTCTCCAAATGATCCTCATCCTGGGAGGATTTCCTAGGGCGCAGACTGGAGTGGCTGCATGCTCTTCACAAGACCTTCTCCACATTTCTTATTGATAATGGAAAGACTCTCCATGCTTCAGGAAAATCCTCAAGATAATCCAGTTAAGCACTCCAGAATCAATGAGGCTTAAAAGACAGCACTCACTGCAAGAGTGCCCAACCCTAGATATTCCCATTCTTTCAGTGGGGAAGAACAAATAGGTTTCAGCTCTCATTTCAGTCCAGAAAGGACCAAAATAAGGAGGAACATCCAATGTAATGAGAAATAGGGCTGAAGCACTTCCCAGATATTGCCAATTCCTGATCCTTGGTCTTGGCAGGGCTGCTTTGACAAAGGACTTCCAGCATCATTCCCAGTCCTTGGGTGCTAAATTATTTTCCAGCTGTACTGTACAAATCTGTAGTGCACCATGGCCCCAGAATGAGCTCCCAGAGGCACTCTGTTTGGGACAAAAGGCAAAAAGAATGGCCAGATATGCCCTAGGAAGGAGCCAGATGTTTTCGTGTATCAGTAGGTGGCATTTCTCCCTTTGCCTCAGGGACTGGCATGAATTTTGTGGGTGGTGGAATGGTGGAATAGCAGATAGTATCCCACAGACGAGATGTGGTGACTTGCAGGGGTGAACTGCAACTCAAGTTGTTATAACATGCTTTTTGCAAGAGTTCAGCTCATGTATATGCTGCTTTCCTCTACATCTTCCTGTATTTTTAGTCCTTCCTTCTTTACATAGGAATATGCACACAGGGAACGCATTTGGCTGTGCAAATGGCTGTGCGCCAGTGGTGGGTAAAGTCCTGTAGGTCATATACCCTTCAAAATCTGCACTAAGCCCTGATAAGCAGAGAAATATATTGCAAAATCCAAGCAGTTCAAGTTTCTATCCTAGGCTCATCTGCTCCTGTAGATATTTTGGGAAAGAAGTAGATTGGAATGGATTAGGCAGGGGCAAAAAAAAGTGGAAGAGGAAAATGTTTATGTATGTACTTGGTGATGAAACTCCAGCTTCTCTAACCATGCTGTCATGGTTGGCTGTAGTAAGGTGACATTTGCCTGTCAGTAATCCCACTTGCTACCTGAGCTTTGACTGGTGAGACCAGGGAAATGTCTGCAGAATAGAGAGCTCTCAAATATGTTTTTAGCTTGAAGATGGTATTGAGTGGGTGCATTTGGTGACAGATGATCCTTGAAAGGTTTAGAAGCAAAAGATATTAAAACGTAGGAGCCGTGCAGAGAGGAAATATTGTGAGTACATCAGAGCCTATTTGAAAAGAAGGAACATCCCGGTTTTGTATGATTACCATCAGCAGCCACAGTGCACGTTTTCTGGGGGGGACAGAGGATGCTGTCTGCAGATGCTTCCTGCCTACTTGACATCCAGGCAGAGTATTACAGGGGCCAGATCAGAAAAGTTTTAGAACTACTGTAGCCAAAGGCTCCCTTAAGAAACTGCAAGCAGCTTCGCCCCATCCTCCCGAAACCAAGGCAGTTGGTGCATTCCTGCCATTCTTCACCCTAAAGCTGATTCTTTCCATTCGCTGGATCAAGAAGACAAAGCAGCTGCTCAGAGAGTCTGAGATGTTTTCATCAGAAACTCTAAATTGAAAGGAATGAGATGAGAGGATTTACTTTTATCAGAGTGGGGCAGTACTCTGGGATCCAGGCTGGGATCCTAGTACCAGCCGGTACTAGGAAATCCTTAAGTATGAACCACAGGGAGGAGATCTGCACTCGCCCAACAGTTGCTTTGGGAGAGCAGTGAACAGCCGAAAATAGGCAACTGCTGGCTGTCTTCCTGTGACAGAATTTGGCTTTCAGGTTGTGTAAGTCCTTTGAGCTGCTTTGGCCTCATCCTTAAATCAGGGAAGACCAGCCTTAGACTTGATGACTGCTGGTTACAGTCCCAAATCTGAAATTGAGCCATAAAAATCTCTCTTTAGACCTCGTAGGTCTTATGAGAATCTTCTTCCCACCTGTAAATGAATATTTTCTTTAGCTATTAGCTGGTAAATTCCTTGCCAGTTTTATTTCCCATAATTTCTCATGGTTTTCTCTGGATCCTTTCTTTTCTAGGTACTGTTGTCTCAGTGCCAGGCTGTGCACCTCTAATAAAAAACAAGTAATGTGACTTTACTGCCTGCCATTGAGAAATTATGTACAAGTTTTGCTCCAGGGCTGTTACTGTTTTGAAGCATGGTGGGCTTCAGTTAGCTGTATCACCGTCTCCCTCATCCAGAAGTTGGTATCACTGCTGCAGGGAGGAAAACAATAAAACTTAAAGCATGTTGGCCGAATGCTGTTAAAATATTTTATTTATGATTGATTTCTAGTTTGTAGGTAGCAGGATTGCATCTATTTAATGCCAGTTGTCTTTAAAATGGAAATGTTCAGAAGGTATTTGGTACTTTTGTTCCTAGCAAGTTACGCAAGATTGAAATGGAGGGAATACACAGTAAAAAATGCTGTCTGAACTTAAAGTGTGTTGGCAACCTGTGAAAGCAACCGGGACTTTGCTTTTGTGCCTGGCACATCTGTATCAAGGGACTGGAAACTGAAGCACTTTGCATAACCTGATTTTTTTTTTTCACATGCATCTCAACAAGCACAGGAAGTATCAAATACCTTCAAGAACCTGCAAAGCTTCATGTGTATGAACATAGGCCAGGTCCTTTCAAACAACAGTGTTGAGAAAGGAGCAGTTGTAATTCCTCATCCACGGTTTTGGTGTTTTTTTTTTAATTGATTTTATAAAGACCAGCTGCAGGTTGAAAGCTGGAACTTTGGACTCAGCCAAGCACCAGCATGTAACAATTAAAAAACCCCAGCAACCCAACCGAAAAAGCTCAATCCTATAAACAAGGTCTCTGTCTGGATTTCTCTCATTTCCAGCTACTGCCCGAATGCGTGATCTAGTCATGCTCCTAACAGCAGATATAAACACATAGGTACCACTCACCTCCAAAGAATGTATCCATGGCTGCATCCTACCTCTCATCTCCAAATCAGACTCCTAGAGAGGGAACTGACGCAGCTGCTTCTGCTGCCCTGAAAGCATCCAAGTGCCTGGCTGGGCTTTGGGGGGGAAGGGGGAGTTACCCCTGACTCCTCCAGACTGTGCAATCTTATCAGGAAACCCCCAAACCAGCTATTTCCTTGCCCACAGATCCCACTTCTGCCCTTGAGGGCCAAGCCCAGGAGCTGCATTGTCAGAGTATACATCGCTGTCCCTTCTGCGCCTGGCAAATGCAGGCAAGACAAAGAAAAAAACAGAGCCATTTGGCACCGAGGGCTCAGCCGATTCAGCTCATTTATTTTATTTTGTTATTTTTGTGCTGCAGACCCATGGGCTGTATCACATAGGTAGAATCGGTGTGCAGCGGTTTGTCAGCATGCAGAAAATCCTAGTGCATGAAACGTCGCACTGGGAAAATCCTGTTGTGTTTGGTATAGCAGAAACTAGCTTATGCTTTTATGTGGGTATATGGGCTACACAGAAAGTCAGTCTATGTCCCGTATTTTCAGTTAGGGTGGTTTTAGTGCTCTAAGACCCATATGCCCTGCCTCCAGGCTTTTCCATTGTAGGCATACTTGACCGATATTCACATTAAAATCTGGGTTTTTGGAGCCCAAAGCTTGCTGAGGCTGAGGAGGAATCATGCCAGGCACTGGCTTGTGCTTTCACTCAGAGAAGACCACAAAAATTGGCTACTTAAGAAAAACAAAGTAAACTGGAGACAAGCCGACCAAGTTCTGTAGGTAAAAAGTAGCACCTTTGACTGGAGCAGAGGATGGGAAGGGAGAGAACCAGGGGACACCCCTGAAGCGGGACGGAGAGGGCAGGTTTGTGCAGCCATTTCCCAGGGTTTGGACCTGCCTGATGGCCTCTTCCTGCAAAAGGACGGGAGGGCAGGGCTCGGCACAGGCTCCCGGCGGCGGAGCTGTTCTCGGCCAGCCCCCTTCCCGCATCCCCCGCCGGGCGACCCCGCGGGCCGGCGGCGAGGGGTTGTGGGCGGCGCGGGGGGGCGGCGGGGCCGGGAAGGAGGGAGCGGGGAGTGCATGTGCATCCTCGCAGCCGCCCCTGCCTCTCTTCCCGCCGCCTTCCCTCCTTCCCTCCCCCTCCGTGAGTGTGTGTCTCCCGCTCCCTCTCCAGCCTAGCCTGACGCAGGCGGATCGAAATCGCCCCTAACAACCCGGCTGCGGAGCGCGGTGCCGGCGGAGGGGGTCCGGCTGCGGCGGGGCCCCGGCGGGCAGCGGGGCCGCGCCGGGCCGGGCCGGGCCGGGCCGGAGGGGGTGGCGGAGGTGAAGTTGGCCCAAGTGCAGGGAGGCGGCGGGCGGCCCGGAGGGGAAAGTTGCCGGGAGAGGAGAAGGGCGAGCGAGGCGGCAGGACCATGGGCACTTTGCGGGATTTACAGTACGCGCTGCAGGAAAAGATCGAGGAGCTGCGGCAGCGGGATGCGCTCATCGACGAGCTGGAGCTGGAGTTAGACCAGAAGGACGAACTGATCCAGAAGCTGCAGAACGAGCTGGACAAGTACCGCTCCGTGATCCGGCCCGCCACCCAACAGGCGCAGCAGCAGAGCGCCGGCACCTTGCAGGGGGAACAGAGGACCAAGCGGCAGGCGATCTCGGCCGAGCCCACTGCATTTGACATCCAGGATCTCAGCCACGTCACCCTCCCTTTCTACCCCAAGAGCCCACAGTAAGCAGGGGGGTTACCCCGGGTACCCATCACCCAGGGGGAGCGGAACCCTCCGTCCTTCGCCTCGCCACCCGCCGCGCTCAGCTTCCCTCACTCCATTCTCCCTTGGCCGCCTGCGGGGCAGCCGGCGGATACCCCCGTCCTCGCTGCCGCCGCCCGCCGGGAAGAGACGGAGGGGTGGTGGGAGGGAGGTAGGGGGAGGTGCAGAACGCCGAAGCGCAGCCGCCCTGGATGCCGTTTGCCCCCGCACCCTTCGGGGTGGGAAAGTTGAGGATTCTGGGCTCGGGGTGATGTGCTACAGGAGCGAACCCGAAGGTGCGGGGAGAACCGCGCTCTTGTCGGACTCGGCCAACCCCCCATCCCGCCAGGGGAGGCACGGCGGCGAGTTTGGGCAAGGGCAGTCAGTGGTCGGGGTAGTTTCTGCTGCAGGCGTTCTAACCGGCGCGCATCGTGGTCTCGGGGGCTTTACCGCTGCGGAAGGGAGCGGGAGAAACGCAGAGGTCTCTCCCCTCCGGAAAGGAGCGGCGTCCTGCAGGCAGAGAGTCACAGGGCAGGGAAACTTGGAACCCGGCGGGGTGCGCTGCCCGGGTCTCCAGTAACCTTCCCACTGTGCTGTAGCGTCCCTTGTCCCGTGGGTGTCGGTGTTTTGGGGGATGGGGAAAGGCAGGCAAGTGACAAGGGCTCGTTGCAACGTCCTGGTCCGGTGGAGCGTGTGCCGGCGGGGGAAGGTGGGTGGGGTGGAGAGGCGGTGGGAAGGGAAAGTTACGGACAACCTCAGCTCACAGCCCGCCTGGGAGATGCTCTGCCCTGGTTTCACACTTGCTGCAGATTAGGCAAATTATAGCGATTTAATAGAGAAAACACAGACCTCCCAGGAGCGGGATCACCCACTTCTCCCCTCCCTCCCCCCGCGTATCCTTTCCTATCTAATAAATCGCAATGTATTTGGTTCAGCGCTCCTTAAGGGGAGAAAAAAAAAAGAGAGAGAAAGAGGTTATCTGCCGCTAAAGAGCCAGGCTGCATGTGCAAAGCACAGTGGAGGGCGGCCCAGCGCTCCCTTCCCCTGCTTGTCTGCCGTGCCGTGTCCCCCGCCTGGCGGCAATCGGGGCCCGGCCTCCCCATCACCGCTGCCAGTCGGTGGGCAAATCCACCTCCCCTTTGCAGCTGACATCTTCCTCGCTGAATTAAAAGGGAGCCGTGGGTCGAGGAGGATGGCTGGAGCCATCCTAGTAGTTGGGGTTGTTCTTGTTTTGGGTGGGCTTTCGGATGCAAGTCACCCCCAGCCACTTGTTAAGGCACGTGGTAGACGGGGCACTCGGTCTCCCGATTCTGCGTCTCTTCAGTGAGGCCCCTCTGTAGCCCCATGGGGAACTTCACCAGCCCCACATGGGTCCGGATGTACTCCCGGGCTGAGGCGGTGGTGGTGCGCATGGCGCAGGTGCTGCAGACGCGGTGGGGCAGCAGCGAGGGGTGATGCCCAGGTACTGCCCACTGGGGATGTCAGCGCAGGAGCTGTCTGTTTCCGCTGTTGGTTACGGGCTGGGGTCGAGCGGTACCGCTGGTCCTGCCCTGCCCTGCCCCGCCCGTGTAGCTTCGGCTCTTCCCGCTGCCATGGCGGGACACCGCCGTCTCCTGGCAACCGCCGCGCCGGGGCAGCCCGCCCAGGGAGGGCGGCAGCCGTGGGACGGCCCTGCCGCCGCCGCGGGATCCTCGGCCGGGTTGGGCCGCCGTGTGGCCGGCCTGCCGCCGTTCACCCACAGATGTTTTGCCCTTTTAAGGCGAACGGCCGCAGCTCTGAATTCAACAGGGCAGTGGGGAGAAACTGGTGGTTAAAAACCCATCCCCTACGAAACCTCAGAGCAAACAAAAGCCACCGCAAGAAGGGGAGGCCAGGCTCTGTCAGGCTTTGCGAGGCACAGCCTACCCACATACGGCCAGTGGGCTGAGGCGCGGGCAGGAGAGTAGGTGTGTGAAAGCCATGGTGTCTCTTAGACATCTAAGGTTGGATGGGGTGGCCCAGAAGCATCATTTCCTTGGTTGAAGTGTAGCACAGAGTATCGCAACCAAAAATACTGTTTTTTTTGCTGTCAGGGACAGGCAGGTGTTTGCCCCTTGGTGGCCTCAAAGTGTGTGACTTGAGCTCCCCAGAGCTCAAGGAAGCACTTCAGGTTTCAGCAGAACAAGCCCGGAGCCTCTGATGTGTATGGTAAAACATGTGGGAAGCCTGACAAAACCTTGAAGTAACATTTTCTAACTTGAACTTTTAATTGCTCATTGTATAAATGCCTTGCTGTAGTCTCATGTGGGGTGTAACACACAGCACCTGCCTATTTCGTATCGGTCATGGTTAATACTCCAGTACTCTTTACAGTATTTAAGTCAACTTGCAGGGTCAGATCTTGATCAGTGAGGTGGAAAAGGTACTTGTTAATGGCTTCAGGAGTGCAAGTTGCTTTGGGAAGCATTTGCTGTTCTGCTTCAGCCTTCATGTTATGGTGACTAGAAGCCCTGCCGCTCAAGGGTGGACACCCGCTGAGGTGATGTGATATCCTCTGGAGATAGATGGTCATCTCAGCTGCTTGCCTAAATCTGTAACTGCACTGATAAGCAGTTGTAATTTGAGCATCTCAGTGGAAAGGAAGATAAGGCTACATAAATAAAGGAAAATGTGAGCCATGTATTTTGCTTACCTCTAGTTCTCATGTTTAAAAGATAATCCATATGACCTGCTGTCATGGTTTAAACACAGTCAGGCAACTCGTTCACTCACTCCCCCCCTTCTTTTCCTCCCCCTACTCCCGGAGGGACGGAGAGGAGAATCAAAAGGAATGCAACTCCCACGGGTTGAGATAAGAACAGTTTAGTAACTAAGGTATAACACAGATCACTACTGCTACCACCAATGATAATAATGATAGAGGAAATAACAAGGGAAGAGAATACAACATCTCACTATCAGCTGACCGATAACTCGCCCCCTCAGCCCGACCAAGCTCTGACCAATACCTACTCCAACCCCACAGTCCCAGCCCTTCCGTCTAACTCCCGTTTACATCCTGGGCATGACGTGCTGTGGTATGGAATACCTCTTTGGCTTGCTTGTGTCAGGTGTCCTGTCTCTGCTTCCTCCTGGCTTCCCCTCCTCCCTGGCAGAGCATGAGGCTCACAAAATCCTTGGCCAAACCAAAACATCATTGTTATCAGCTCTGTTCCCGAGCCGAAAGTCAAAACACTGCACTGCACCAGCTACCAAGAAGGAGAAAAATGACTGCTACTGCTGAACCCAGGACACCTGCTCTGTTAGTCGTGGATGTACCTGGAGTCTGAGTGAGGAAGCACAAGTGGTCTAGTTTATTTGGGATCATTAATACACAAATTTTGATTTTTCTTATGCTTTCCTACGTGTGGCTGCAAACATTGCTTACACAGTGCCTGTGAGTGGTTGAGGGAGGGTCTTTGTCTTGATTAAATGAATATGACACAATCTTGATGCCATTTTGATGTTCAAGATAATAATTTGTGGGAAGGACCTGAAAGCAAACAGAAACTACCAAAATATGCAAAGAAGGTTGACTTTTTTTGCTGTGTTCAAGTCTCAGTGACTCTTGAGGCTATGGTATCCAACATTTCCAGCATTATAACCAGAACAGGAGCACCAAGAGGATGCACAGGAAATCTTCAGTTGTTTGGCATCCTGTGGGTTTTTTTTTCAGTTAGGTGGTGCTAGGTCCGTCCCCCTGATCTGGTGGACCACCTAAAGTGGTTGGATATTGGTGGGATCAGTAGTAGCAGAAAGTTCATTAGAAATGAGGAGCAGTGATCATGATGGTCATTGTACACTTGTGAGACCTGTGGGTCTGACTCTGTGGGGAAGTGTCTATGGAAACTGCAGTGATACCAGCTAGCAGATTCTGGGTTATAAAATGGTTAAACTCTGAATGGCTTTCAAACATGAAAGTAAATTTAATTGCCTCATATAGAAAAATACCATTAAATGTCCTGCAAGATCTTACCTTGCAAACAGCCCACACCTTTTAAGATGCATATAGTCTTAAAAATACCTGTTTCAGGGTGTTAAAGAATTTTAGCTACTGTTGCAGGGTTGGGCTTATTTTGCCTCTCTCCTGTTTTTTTTTTTTTTTTGTTTTTTAATGTGAAATGGACTGTGTGGGTTCACATGAGGAATTTATAGCTAAAATCCGTGGAGGGACATATCCTGCCATTTTCGTCCAAGTCACAAGACCAGTGAGAGAATGCTGGCTTTATCACTCTTCCTATTCAAGTAACTAGAAGCCAGTTGCCCCAAAAGAAGTGGCTTTTTCTTTATCCCCTCAAAGGAAATAACTTGCAAGAAGTAACTGGAATAAGTGAGCACAAACTGAAGAAAGCTGGGTGGTTTTCCATGGTAGAAAAATGCAGTGACAAATCCTTATCTCCTCTTCATCTTTTAAAATTGCTGCTCTGTTTTTCCACACCTTTGACCTCTCACAGGGTATATCCTGGCTGCTAACAGCCTGTCAGCGTGAAAAGAATACTGTGAGACCAGATTCATACCAACTGTTGTTCCAGTTAAGATTTTCCAGATCTGCAAACTAAAGAATAGCCTTTTTAACTAGGAAGCTGTAACTCTTGTCGCTTTGCTTTCGTTGTTTTGTACTTGCCATGGGAAAATACCCAGGACTTTTAATTTTAAAAGGCTGTTTCATTTGGTGATTGGCAACAGCTGTATGCTTATTCTGAAGACTATGTAATCAGCATATTCTGTTTTCCAGAAGGGAAAAGAAAAAAAATGTAGAAGTAGAATGTAAAACAAAGTGAGAGCTTGTGAGCCTCAGGAAATATATAGGGCCTGATCTTCTCCTGTCAGAGGTTGTGTATGCCTTGTCATTAACTGAGATAAGGGCAAAATGCTGTGTCATTTATAGAAAATGTTGAATAAGATGAAGAATGACTTGTTTTTGTGAGTTAACAGACTTAGGATGAATTGAATGTAAAGCTGG